AGTACAAATTACGGTGGCGCGATTTCACACACTTAATATCAGGCAAAATTTATCAGACCCTGCACTGACGGCTTCTCCGGAGTACAACCCCTTGTTATTTTCCTGGCGCAGTGAACTGTCTCATTCAAGGATGATGGAAGTTGTCATAACAAAATTCCGTTGCTGCGTTACTTCTCTCAATTTTTACTTGCATAGATGAGGTATATTGAATTCCCCTACGTGCATTTACTGTAATCAAGAGGAAACGATCAGTCATTTTTCATTACGTTGTCGCCGATTCAATTTATTCAGGCTAATCATACTAGCGCCACCTCTTCAAAAACTTGGCTCGCAATTATCACAACCTGATCTTCTTTCATTTGGGGCCTCTACACTGAGCTTCAGCCACAGGGGTGTTTCATTCGCCGTTCAGGAATACATCACTGTGACTAAACCATTTTCTTGCTAAATTACGGTCTCACTATTTTTTCTTCTTAATTTTTTTCTGCAAATTTGCAATTGACATTTCAAATCATAATTAAAACACAAAAGTTTTTTTAGGAATGACGCAATGCTGAAAGTATCGGTCAAATTCACCTTATAATGAACCAATCCCCTCCTTTGGGTACGAGCCATTTGCACAAGAAAACAACAACAACCACGACACTTACTATCTACCCATGAACGCCGAGAACATGCATGAGAAATTTTAACACGTGAGCGTTCATAAAAATCTGACATCGGCTATAATGACCCGACGAGTGAAGAGAAAAAAAATGTCAGGGTCCCAGCAGGAATCGAACCGCAGCATTCTGCGTAACAGTAAAGTATTCTACCACAGAGACACGCCAGGTCTCTCGACCGCTTTTCAAGTAGAGTGTATTGTTCGTGAAGCAGAAATTGGGGAAGTTGTGATGGCTATCCATTTTATAAATTTTACATACGCACTGCTACGAAACAGCCGTCAGTTTATATCAACCTAGAGTGCAGTTTACATCCTACAATACAGTTTATGTCAACCAACCAAGAAACGGCGCGAAAAGATATTGGGAAGTTCAATTTGAGAGCATTCAAAATTGGTGAATTTGTACGAAGTAAATGACGACAAGTGGGTGAAGCTACAGTCTCCAAAGTTAATAACGAATGCGTAGAAGTTGCCGACTAGTATAAAAGACGGATGGGTGGACGTATGCACGGACGCAGGAACAGATGGATGACTGGGTGAATAGATGCACGGACGGGTTGATGAACGGCCAGACGGATGGCGTGAGAGATCATGTATTGGGCTGTCCTATGGTTGATCACACAGAAAGTCAGTTGTTTACATATGTTTTAGTTTATCTTGTGCACAGTTGGAGTTTTGGTTTTAATTTGTGGGGCCTGATGGACACCATAACTCGTAATGTTAGAAAACGTCAATTGTGGTTACAATACTAGGAAGGGGGGGGGGGGGGGGGGCTAACCAATCTTACCAACAGTACATACGTATTTTTATGATAGATCCGCCATGACATGTTAGAGACATTGGAAGTGATGCGTCATCCACTGTAGCTCATTTATGTAGAAGTGCAGGCCCACCATCCTCGCTGACACAAGCGCTACGTATAAGCTTACCACTTCTGGTGTTTCTAATACCCATGCTGCTGTTGGCATCGTTATGCAGCAGTAAACATGTGACTGCTTAACATGTGTCTGTGCGTAAACATTTCTAGCCATATCTAGCATTATTTTGTAACGTTTCGCTCAAGAAAAAGTTACAGCAGAGTCATCTTTCCTCCGCATGCTTCGCATAACATTATTCCTAAGGTACGTGGGATATTCCGAAATTTTTCGCGCATGCATTTTTTGTCGAGCCATGTCAAGCGTCCATCGGGATCCATCCACCACATTCTACCATAGCAACAGCTGCGAGCACACGCGTCTCTAGCAACCGGGGTCCCCACCATGTCATGCTTCGGCGTCGGTCAGCAGCTGTCAGCAACAACTGCGGGCGCACGCGTTTATCCTTGCCACTAGCAACCGGAGCATGTGCAGCAGGACAATGAAGGAAAGGGTACGTGCAGTTATTCACCTCTTGTTCTCTAGCCGTTCACTCTCTCTCTCCCCCTGCTTCCCTTCTCCCGTCCGCTCGCTCCTCACTCTCGACCACTGGCTGGCTGGTCACCTCTAAAGGCGATGGCAGAAGTCGGTGAAGGGTCGGCAACAGTACCTTCTCGGAGCAAGAATTGCATTCACATTTCCTCACGATTTCGGTCGGGGAGGTGGGGGCATTTTAATTATTTATTTAAAACAAAATATGCAAGGTCCTAAAGAATGCGACAGAAGGCAACATTCCCCGACTTCGTCGTGCTAGCCAGCAGCAGAAAGACAATTACACAACATAAAAAGTACGCAAGAAAATCAATAGGTACACGTGTTTTCGACAATTGACATGTACGTTTTATAAAAATGAAAGGCAAAGAACGATAGATAAAAAGTGTTAACGTTATGGAGTTTACTCAGCACTTGCTAAGCACTACAAAAGTAGAAGCAGATGTTGATAGAGAATAATGCACATGTATCTCATGAAGGAAAGAAAAGCAACGAGGAACAACCTTTTAAAGTGATTGATTAATGATTGATATGTAGAATTTACAATTCCAAAACCACCATATGAGTATGAGAGACGCCTAGTGGAGAGGGCTCCGGAAATTTCGACCACCAGGGGTCCTTGAAGGTGCACCCCACATCTGAGCACACGAATCTACAGCTTTTCGGCCTTCATGAGAAATGCAGCCGCCACAGCCGGGACTCGATTCCGTGACCTGCGGAACCTTGGAAAGTGTGCGAGCCACTTGAAGAGAAGAAACATTGCTGCAACACAATATCACCAGTAGTTTAACTTTACCATTTGTTATCATGAATTATTGTTTTCTTAAGCTTCTGCTTTCAAATTTCACCCTTAAAGGTGTCAGTAGTTACCGCCTAGTAGTGTAGGAGGTTAGGAATTTCGAGCTCCTAGTTATTTTTCATCATATCATTTCAGCTGTGTGGTACGAAAGTATTTCTCATATTCTAGCGCATCGATTCACACTGTATTTGTTTTGTAAAAGGGTTAGTCAGTTTAAAATTGCCCAAGATTTCAAGAAAAAGTTTAGATGCTTCAAGTTTAACACTGTAAATGTTTTAAATTTGCAATGATATCATTTGGTGTTGACCATTCGTCCGAACTTTCTTATTGCTCTTAGTGTGCGGTTTTGAAGTAATGTTGAATTAGGCTTTGTGGTAGTCGACTAAACTAGACGACAGTTAAAATATCGGGATGTATAAGCGGGTTATATTATATGGCAAGCTCGTGACGGCCATCTTGCCGTAAATACTCCTTAGAAATCACCGTCCCATTTTAGCACAATAATAAGAATCTACTCTTCGTGCTATGGGCCGCCATTCTTTTATTTTACTAAGCACAATAGCCTAATCGCTGATAACAAAAAAAAAGAAGGGGAGGGGTAAAAAAGTCATACTAGTTATAGGACGTGTACACTCCCACGTTATACGAACTTTCAGACGTTGTCCGAGAAGCTAAACTCGCTACGGATTTCCGTCGCTTTCGCATCCCGGTGCATGCGCAAAATGTTCATCTGGAATTACTACGACAAAACGCTCTCATTGATACACATACAGCATGCCCGAGGACGCGGGCTTGCTGAGGAGCTAGCGAATAACGTCATGTTTCACCAAGTTGTTTTGCAGCGATGCTGTTTACTTCTATTCGCTCTCTTTTTTTTTAGACCTCCACGTACTGTTTTTTTTTTATTGTTCCTCATGGTGCGCGTCCAACTGTGAGTGAAAAGGGCTTTTGGTTACTACAACATCACCAGCCAGGTAATTTTGTCAATCCAAACTTCGCTTGAACAATTGTGCGTCTACTAACGGGGTCTTCACCATGGGGTTGTTTTGGTTGAAGGCTTAAAAATGTGACGACGAGTTTGTCAATATCCGTGGCAGCCTCAAAGTTCTCAGGATGGCCCTTGCAGTCTATATATATATATATATATATATATATATATATATATATATATATATATATATATATATATATATATATATATATATATATATATATATATATATATATATATATATATATATATATATATATATATATATATATATATATATATATATATATATATATATATATATATATATATATAGTATACAGGTGGAAGGCGTACGACCAACACAAAAGGTTTCACTTCTATAGGTGCTGTCGAGAGAGAGATTGTGATTATGTTGATATGCTCCATAACTGGCTCACACAATCTCGTCGTCTGCTAGTTGTGTTCACTGGCATTATGGCATCGGTTTTGGCGGAGAAATCCGTCGAGTTTCATCACTATGAAAAAACTACCGGAAGCCGCTTTTCTTATTCTCAATGAGGCAAACTTGTCTTTCGCAGGAGTAACTTCAGTACTGTTATCTAATCTATCGCGTGTATCCTTTATTAAAAACGTTCGTAATTATCATGATTTCTGCGATTGATGATGTCTTTAGTCTTTCCGGTTATGTTCTGGCGGCTGGTGTGCATAAAATATTTGATGGGGATTTTCGCAACCGTTTCTTGATGATCATAAATAATCAATATTTATTGAGCCAAACACCCGCTGTAACAATGCATGTTTTGCATACACTCTTCCTTGGTCTCGTTTACTTGCGATAACTCTTATTCAATTACACATTCTGTTAGTGACTTCGGAGGCGAAACGGAATTACTGAGGCATGTTAACTCCCTCTAATTATTTTCCCTCGTTTTGCGCCGATTATAGTAGTTCAATATTCACACTCCTGATGTAAACAAATGAAGTCGAAGCGTGCGAGGCGTGCGCGTCCCCCACTGCCTCTAGCGAGTGTCGTCCGCCGAGCCGCCGGCATGTGTGGGCTGCGTGCCAGCTGGCCCCGGCGCCGCGCGACGAAAACAGAATCTCGTTTGGTCGCGTCAGCGACGTCGAAGCGACGGCTGCGGGAAGGCGCGTGCGCGCGCACGCACTGCAAGACGCGGCGAGAGCAGCTCCGCCGAAATTAGGCACTGCGGGCAGCAACTGTCTCGAAGGCAGTAGTCGCGTAACGTCTCACGCTCTCACAAAATATCGGGCGCCACGTGCGACCTCGAAGGCGATACTCTTGCCACGCCATCGCGCGTTTGCCGCACATACGCTAGTCGTGTTGAGGGAGCGTCCGCCGATAGATCGTAGCAGCCTGCCCTGACTATAGCATTGAGGACGCACTGTTTGTTCACCGCGCACGCGAGAATTGTGCGACGACAGCGAGTGAGTGCCAGTCTCTGGATGACCGAAACTTCAGTTCGGAATAAGGTGAGCATTTCGCACCCCCGTAGATATTTTCAGTCAGTTTGGTACTGCAGGATGCTTTGTCGTTTTCAAATGTCTTGAATGTGTATTGTCGCCAAGCTGTTGAATGTAAAGATTTTTTGTAGCCAGCTGCGCTTTTCGCACCGACAAATGGTTCCATTAATTTGTGCGTGGCATGTCCGTCAAAAACGAAACGTAGATAACAGTAAGCGTTATGCTGAGGTTCGTGCGCAGGCGCCGCTTTAGCTGCCCGTTCGTTATTTGTTCGTGATTCTGATTGTTCCTGACCAATATATTAGAACCACAGCTGTTAGCGCGATGAGGCGGCACTCGTGTTCTTTGTACTCATGATAATGAAACTTTCGGTGTCAGGCTCATGACGAACGTATTATCTATAGTTTCGCATTCAAGCAGCTCTCTTCTTCACACTCGCCGTCACAGCATGCTCGCTGGGGTGTCCCGCTGCTCCACTGCGGGGCCCAAGGTTCGGTTTCGAGCGATGGAGTTTGCATTTTTATAGCACGTAACGGTGACAGCACCTGTTCGCTCAAATTAGGTGCTCGTTAACATTAGGCTTTCAGTGAGACGACGGTAAGAAATGGTTCACGTGTGAAGCTCTGCCTTTCAGGATGCTATGCTGATATTATGTAAAAAAATGGAGTGAATAAGCTTATGGACACGGTCTTTAAAGACATCAATGGTGCTTGTGATGAAAATTTAGAGACATCAAACTTTCCGCCACTGAGTGCCTCCCCGCTCTCCCCACTTCAAAGCACCTAATCATTGTGGTGTGGTTGCCGCAAGTTAAAACTCAAAATGCGTTTCGAAAGCGAACCTTCAATGCCAAATTATCCCAATTTCTAGAATAGTATTTTTCTTCTTGTAAAGTTTCCGCGTGGATTTTTATTTTATCTGCAGGATATTTTCGTGCGTGTTTTCCAAACGGTTAGGACCAGAGTAGTTCACGAAAGATTATTTGATAAAGTGGTGAAAATAATTAATGAGTTTACAAAAATTGTGCGAAATTAGGTCTTCAGGGCTGAGCAGTCGGACAATGAGAAAAATCGCTTTTTATTTATGCTACTGCTACTGATTACAGTACACAAAATTTCTACAGCAGACGTCCTATTGTCTTATTCGGCAGTGTGAAAGTCCTTGAAAAAACTTCGAGACTTCGTCTCAAAAACGGCGCTTATTCACCTCGGAGTCACCGATCACTTCAGTCAGACGTGTTTTTCTTTTTAGCTTCCAGCTTCGCAAAAAAGCCACAGTTGTCAAAGTGAGGACCATTAAAAAATACTTCCCTAAAATTTGCAGTCTTGGATTTTTTGGATATGTTTCAGCGTTGCTAAAAAAATGTACAGTGATTATGTTAGTTGACATTGCCAGTTAGTTCCTGCTTTGAAAAACAATGATTAGAAAGTTATCATCGCTACGATTTATTGGTGCATATATGTATTGCTCTGGCATTATTTATTATTCTGGAAAGTGCCTATGTGCATAACGTAGCAAAACGAGGTATAACGGCAGGCATATGCCATAATTATTTATGAATTAATTTATTTATTTATTCAGAATACCCCTAAGGACCCTCTCAAAAGAGGGTATTCTATAGGGGGGGGGGGGGCTATAACACATACAGGTACATGAAATGATTAATAGGGCCAGAAACCACGCAAACTAAACACTATACAGCTGCAAAATAGATTAGAGTAAATATAAGGTCAATATTCTTACTGCATAATCTCAAATAATCAGAATAAATAATATGAGTCAAACAATGATGAAAGTATAAACATATTTTGAAATTGATCTAAACAAGGAAGGAAATAGAGTACCAAGAGTATAATAAAACGCAATCTAGCTTACTACAAGCACACGTGCCATTAAAGCATAAAGGAATGACAACATCGCCAATAGCACGTTTGAAATACTCAATTAGGCAAACAGAAATAAATAACACGAACCATGAACATCCGCAGTTTATACAGAAAACACTTTTTGCAGAAGAAAGAGGGATGGGGATACCACAAAAGGTTCACACGTTTGAACTCATGTTTAGTAGGTTCTGAAATACAGTGAACAGTGATATCTGTGACGGGTGCAATGTATGTTGGTGAGTCATTCCACTCGGTTACTGTGCTCGGCATGAAGGATCTGGCATAATGAAATGTGCGACAAGGGAAGCGTTCGATTTTAAAGGGATGATCGCATCGCGGAAAGATGGCAGGGGGTGGCCTAAAGAAGTCCTCGTGAATTGATGCGTAATGGTAGAGCTTATGAAGTAGTGATAAGCGAACAATATTACGACGACGTGATGAGAGTTCTAGTTCTGCACGAAGTTTCAATGAAGTGATGCTGGTGTGACGTGAATAATCAGAGAAAATAAAACGCACAGCACGGTTCTGCAGGGATTTGATGTTTTTAATAATGTAGTCTTGATCGGGATCTCAAATGGCTGACGCACATTTTATTTTATTTAGGACGGATAAAAGTCAAATAAGCCAGTTTACGCAAGTGCGCCTTACTAGTCTTAAGTTTAGTTCCCGCTCACATCTGTATGTCTTTTTCTAAGTGAACCGCGAAGTATCTTTGATAGAACAATAGTAGAAATAATTCTATCGACAAAAATCCCCGCAGTCTTTTTTCAGTTCACGAAGAGATTAGACTGCTCAAAGCGTGTTTGCATACCACTGATCACGCAATTGATTAGAAAAATGCGTGTTAAGGATGATGCTCTTTTGTTAATACAGGCCTAACAGTGAAAATTGATAAAAAAGAAATTACACAGTGGGGAATAATTAAACGGCGTCCGTGAAAATTATGTAAAGTCTAGCAAAGGGGGAAAAAAGATAGCACTATGTTTGCTAAAGATGCTCGAAACTTGAGGTTGTCGTGAATGCGTGTAGTTTCTGCAAGGAGTTGCTTTTGTTCAATGAATGGCTTAAGAATGAAGCATTCAAAGGAAGCTGTCATAATTTTTCCAGATGAATTTCCGATAACGCGGTTTCATTAGGGACAATGCGTGTAGTGACTGAAAACCTACTTCGCTGTAAGCGCTCTGTGATGCGATAGCTTATGAAGGGGGGGTGGGGGTAAACAACAAGAGGGAAGGCAGGGAGGTTAACCAGGCACATGCCCGGTTTGCTACCCTACGCTGGGGTAATAGGAAGGGGGCATAAAGATGAGAGAGAGAGAGGAAAGAGAGAGAGGGGGAAAGAAAAGAGGGTTGTCAGTCAATCGGCTGGCGCGTATGCAGCGGTGGCACTACACAAAAGTTAAAGGTGGTCACATAGGCCTGTAGTCCTCAAAAAGCACAAGACAGCTTTGACTGCTTTTTGAGCCGACGAAAGGCGATGACGGTGTTTCAGTAGCATCTGCACAGAGAGTGGCCGATCGTTCAATTGTCGCAATGCGTCCGAAAGCTTCTGTCTTTCAGAGGCAAATCGAGGGCAATGGCATATCAGATGGTCGATGTCTTCTTTGGTGCAGCAGACGTCGCATTCCGCATTGTCGGTCAATCCTATGAGGGTTCTAGATGCTTTTGTGAAGGCAACACCCAAACATAGGCGACAAAAAAGTGAAGCTTCGCGTCGACGAAGTCCGGATTGAGGTCGAAGTTCCAGTCGAGGGTTTATTTGGTATAGTCTCGTATGTCTTATGCTTGGGGTGTTCCACTCCTGCAGACTCAGACTACGTGCCAGGTTACGAAGTTGATTTGCAGCGTCAGTCCTTGATAAAGGAATCGGAAGGGTGTGTTCTTCTTGGTGCGAAGTGCGAGCCGCGTTGTTTGCGGAATCATTGCCACTGATCTCACAATGGCCAGAAAGCCACTGAAACTTGACCTCGTGGCCTGTTTCTGTGACGTGGTGAACGAGCTTGACAACTTCGTAAGTTAATTGTTCATGTCAACCTCGTCGAAGGACTGACTGGCTGCTCTGTAGGGCTGGTTTTGAGTAAAAAAACACAGCCCATTTACTAGGTCTTTGGGATTTGATGTACTCTATGGCGCCACGCAAAGCCGCAAGTTCTGCCGCTGTGGACGTAGTGACATGTGACAGTTTGATTCGCAGAGTGATTCCTCTAGCTGGAATCACCACCGCACCACCAGAACCAGACGCTGTGGTTGAACCATCACTGTATATGTGCACGTGGTTGTTGTACATTTCGTGCAGATGGCTCAAGCTCAATTGTTTTAGGGCTGATGAAGGCAAATTTGATTTTTTCTGTATTCCTGGAATTGAAACGCGTACTTGTGGAAGTGTCATCAACCACGGAGGATACACAAGTTTCTCAGCAGGCGTAAAACCTGACGTAAACGACGCACGATGAGCGCAGACAATTGCACTAAATTTCGTGCGGGGCCTCTCAGTAGCGAGGGTTGCCAAGTGGTGGAAAGGATTCCTAGCATGTTGCCTGAGGTGCATACGCATCATTTCAATGGTGATGTGCGTCATGATCGAGTAGTCCTGTGCAATGGCAATTGTTTCAGCTGTCGATGCGCAGCGGGGTAAACCAAGGCATATCCTAAGCGCTTGGGCTTGAATATTTTGGATTGTGCGCAGGTTCGTTTTGCACGTGTTAGATATAACAGGAAGGCTATACCGCAGGAATCCAGTAAATAGTACCTTGTACAGCTGTAACATAGACTCGACAGACATTCCCCAACTTTTCCCAGCAAGAAACCTGAATATGTGACAAATGGCAGTCAGCCGCTTTTTCACGTAGTTCACGTAGGGTGTCCAAGACAGGTTTCGGTCGATTACGACTCCCAAGAGCTTGTGACTGTGGCTGCATGACACCAACTGCCCGTTAATTGATATGCCGTAAGCGGACATTGGTTTTCTGGTGAAGGCCACGACTGCACACTTCTCACTTCCAATTTCAAGCCCTTGTTTGCGTAAGTGGTACGATGTCACTGACGTTGCCTTCTGAAGTCGAGCGCAAAGTTGAAGTCGAGTCACACCTGATGTCCACACACAGATGTCATCAGCATAAATAGA